GTGGGGAGTACCGAAGAAACGTGAGCAACAGTGAAGCAAACACAGAAAGATCCGTTACTGTGTGTGTGCGTCGGGCGGATCAGAGTTTTGTGTGTAGGGGGGGGCGGGCGCTCCACGTGACTGGCCAATCACAGAGCGTGAAGGCAGTCAGTTACCCAATGAGGATTTTTCTTCAGCACGATTACACATATTTACGAGTTTTACTCGTTTCATTCTCGTATTCGTCAAAAATGCTTTATCCGCGGCTCATCCCTAGCTGTAACCACCCTGCCCTGCCTCCTCCACCTTGTTGTCTGCCGGCTCTGATAACAAGCAACAACAGAGTAGTTCCCGCTGCTTCTTCGGGAAACAGCACCAAAAAATAAATAAATAAATCTATAAAACGGGGTCTTGCAGGCGTGGCGCTGGGATTTCAGCTACGCCTGTGTAAGGGAAACACTGTCGTTCACTGCTAGCATTTTTCAGCATTTTCACTGTTTTTTTAAGTCACAGAACGTTGCGCGCTAGGATGATGTCAAGGCCAAAACTACCAAAACAAAGCGGAGACTCACCTCTAACGTCAGGAAGAATCCGCGCGTTTCGAGCGTTATCCGTTCTTTCATAATCCGTTGTCGAATTGTGATCGGCAGAAGCTTTTCCGGTTCGCTCCTCACTTTTTTTACAGCAGCGGCCCAAAACGATCTCCTAACACATGGATGTTCTGCTTCCTGATCATGTGACGTACGCGGATGAAGATCGGCTTTAGAGCTGAGATGCTTGTTCTCACGGTGCGGGGCCTCATTCTGATGCCCACACAGTAAAAAAATGCGAATGACGATTTTAGTCGTCGTTGGCAGTTAATGAGTTAATGATCCACATCTGGTTACCGTGGCAATCTAAACAACCCCCTTGTAGTTACCACAATGACCCTAATGATTCACTGGTGGTTACCATGGTGACCTTGATGATCCATCGGCAGCAGCTTTGCCATTCTTGGTCCCTTATCTTTCAGTACAGTTTACACGTGAAATCCCAGGCTTCCTGTCTCAGTTTCAGAGCCGAGCGGTGAGCAGGCGGATCAACGTTTTAGTAACAAACCAAAGAATTCAGAGCTCTTTACCTGCCGACTGTTCTGCCACATGAAGGTGATCATGATGTTCTGCCTCGTAGTCGCTGTGAGGGGTAATGGAGCTGCAGGCAGCTCAGCAGAAGTGAGCCCAGGCTGCTTAACTGACTTCCCATGGGGGGTGGGTTACTTCCAACACACTCCAGCACTTAACACCAACGTACAGCAGAGCAGCTGCATTCCTTCTTCTCAACCTCTTCCTTTACTGTTCTGCCCTGCAGCCTTTCATCACATTGTCATGACAACCGCTTCACTCTGGCGCCAGTAAACACGCTGAGTGAGTTGTTGCGTGTTTATTTACAAATATGGCTGTTTTAAACTATTAGAGTGATTTTCTCAGTGTTTTGTGATTTTCCACTGATTGGTGTTCAGTAGATTACCTGCAGGCCTATTAAAGGGTTCATAACATTTCAAAGTGTCAAACTATTTAGCACAAAGTGGGAGGAGCTTAGAGGTGTAAAATTCTTAACAGTGTTTTTCTCATCATGTTAGCACGCTTCACCTCATTACAGGTTCCTCCAGATTTGCTGCAGCACAAAAAATGGTGACATTTCACTTGTTTTAATCACACAAACTGCTGTGAACACCCAGAACGGCCGTGACCTCACAGGCTGTCGGGAGAGAAAATGACGAGCCGACACCGAGGGCACAAAGTGGCTGCAAATCGCTCAGAGACGGCTTTTTGTGTGTTTTCTTTAGGATTAGTTGTTCACCTTCACTGTGCAGCGTGATGCAAGCTCTGAGTCTAACAAGAGGATGAAGAAAAATGGCAAATGTGTATAGTTGTTTTTTTTTCCCCCCTTGAGAGATCAAGACAGGTGAAGCTGGTTTCCCCCACAGATCACAACACGCCCTGTAGGTTATAAATTGTTAGTCGCTTTGGATAAAAGCGTCTGCCAAATAAATAAACATAAACATGGTGCAATAGTTCATTTATGTCATTAATTTCAGATAAAACATGTATTTGCTATATGGCTTACAGCTCGTGCAAACCCACATTCAAAATCTCAGACTCAGAATCTCATATTCTAGACTCAAAGTGAGAGAACGCCTGCTAAAGGTTCCTGAGCCTTTAGATGGTCTCTCATTCAAAACTGGATAACTGACATAAATGGACTTTTGCACCAGATTCGAGTTGCTCCCGTCTCACTTGTAAGCATGTGAATCTGCAAGCTGACAGTTAGCCATTGTTAGCTCACCAATATGGACTTCCAAATCTTACGTGTAAGGATGGGTACCTTTGACATTTGAATCGATTCGGTACTAATTCCCGGTACCTACGAATCGATACCGGTAGTTAACGGTACCAATTTTCGATACTTTTGAGTGTTTAATATTTTAATTCTCTTTTATAATTAAATATATATTCTTCTCAATATATAACCATATTTGATAAATATCACGATAAATAACATACAACTGTTTGTATTTTAACATCGTCCTTGTAGTTTTATAAGCTGATAATTAAACTGAAGCAAACATCTTTACTGTGAACTAAATTTACTGTGTATCTTCATTCCTTTTGCCGTCCTTTTTCATTTGATTTTTCCTACTGGGAAGTTAGAATTTCCGAGGAGAAAGCAAACACACCATTAGCTGATAACAATGGTGGCAATGGAAGCTAACATATCAAGCTAACGTTATCTTAAACAGTTTATTTAGCTGCTGGAGCAGATTAAAACGATGATGCCTCACACTTAGATCGTTGTCGCTGGTTTCATCTTCACCCAATCACCCGTCGCATTTAGTAAAGTGAAGCCAAACTTTAGAGCGCGTTCATGTTCTTCTAGTCAGAAATTCGGAGTTCCGAGGAGAAAGCGAACGCACCATTAGCGGAACAGATGCTAACATATCAAGCTAACGTTATCTTAAACATTTTATTTACCTACCGGAGCAGATTAAGATGAGGATGTCTCACTTAGATCGTTGTCGCTGGTTTCATCATCACCCAGTTACCCATCACATTTAGTGAAGTGGACCCAAGCTTTAGCGTGCGTTCTTTCTACCATGCTGCTCTGTTTACAACTGGCTCGCAGCGACCGACAACATAACGCTCTTGCGCATGCGCAGCTGTCTAGGCAAGTTCTCGTTATGAAGGACGGGTACAGAAACGAGGCACCGTTTCAAATGATGTGAGTCGGTGCTCAGTCGGTACTATGGAATTCAGTCGGTACCTTAAAAAGTACCGAATTCGGTACCCAATGCTACTTACGTGTATTTTTTTTTTTTTTTACCGTGTGCCCAATAAATGAAACATGATCGGATATCCTGTTTCCTTCACATACCAGCAGAAATATGAAGACTATCTATTTTTACCAAGCTATGTCAGCTCATGCTAGCTACAAATGAAAGGAAATCTGTCGGGATCAGCAAAGTCAAGCCTTGACCTCCTCGTGGCAGAAAAAAGATTCTGTAACGGGCGTCCAGAGTGACACAGAGGTATGAAACGGTTCAGTCGTCTCTCAATTTACTCCCAAGTGGAAGTGGTGCCTCAAGATTTTGTGAAACGCCTCGTCAATGAAAGACTAGTTTGTGGCTGGCAGTGCAAAGTACTTTTAGGGGCTTGCAAACAAATAGACCCTTCTCAAGGTGAAAACATGCAAACAGGAGGAGTGGAAAAATGGGGAGCAAGGTCGAGGAAATGGGACGGATCAAATGAGTTTTGTGGGGAGGGGGAGTAACCATAGCAGGGATGAAGTGTCTGCAGGTGGACTGATTGGAGTGGAGGCTGTCAATAAGTTGTGGAAGAAGGATACCTACCTAGAGGGGAGGTTAAATGAGTTTTAAGTGATGTGAGCGAACAGACGATATGGTGTGGGAGGCCTAAATGCAGACAAAAACAGTGAAAGGCTGAAGAGAGGCGGGGGAGGGGAGCAGTGAGACGTGTAAAGATGGATCGAGCCTCCGCTGAAGAAGAGACGGAGGGAGTGATTGAGGGCACGAGGAGGGAGGGGGTGTGGGAAAGCAGCTGTGATGAGACGGCTTCTACTGGACCATGAGATTGATGAAAGCACTTCGGAAAGAGGGGGAAGAGATAGCGGAGTAAGAGAAAAGTCTTGATGAAAAGAACCGTCGCGTGCCGCGAGACTTCAGCGCGATAAAAGAACGAGCCGCCCTTATCGCAACGCTTCTATCTTAAAACGGAGCGCCAGATGCGTCTTTGCTCATCTTACTATCGTTAATCGGATCTGTGGCACTTTTGAAGGGTTGTGTGGAAGATCAGTGAGAACATACAGAGCTGCTGTCACATCACAGGAGATTACAGCATATCAGGAGAACAAAAGTCTTGGAAGAGATGGATTTAATTTACTTTGGCTTTGAGACACCAAGAGTCCTTTGAGCTGCTCATCCATCACTGCCTTTGAGTCCCAAACGACGCTGACGTCCCAAAATTTAGAATAATGACGCTGAAGTTTTTTCATAGTCCTATTAGAAGAAAAGCCAGAGGTCAGTCAGGTTAGGTGGATGTTTGGGAGAGGAGACGGGAGGGTATCCACCGCTTCTCCCTCGAGTCTGTTTCACCTCCTCTGCCTCAATCCGTCTCCTCCCCACCATCTCAAACTGCTGCAGGAGCTCTGGACCCAGCGGGGCTAAGAAACAGATAAACAGCATTCCCAAACGGAGAGTGGCTGGACCGGAGCGGGCCGTTTTCTTCACTCGCATCAGTCAGCGAGAGAATGACGGCCTGCACAGCCGCCGATCTTATGGGCTGTAATGAAAAAGGGAATAAAAAGTCTTGTTAAATATGTCACACGCCTTGCTGATATAAACGCCTCCTAAAGAATATAAAGTGCAGCCTGTTCTGTGTCACATCGCTGTGCCCATCTTACTGCTCTTTCATTACCAGCTTATGATTTGTCTGTTTTTCTCTCCTCTTCTTTTTTTTTTTCTCCAGATGCCATCTGAGAAAATTGAAAGCCTTTCTGTGAGCTGCGATGGGACTTGATGAGGCCGGAGACATGATGAGACATCTCCCCAGAGCTGCTTTCTGATAGACGTCGGAGGAATCGGTTATCTGAAATTAATGTCAGCGGCGTCGCGGAGGCAGCCTCAAGCTGCGCCGCCGGCTCTAACTCACCCCATGGAGGCCCGGCCTCCATGTTTCCAACACCACTGCCGATGGTAACGCCAGCCAAGTGCGGAGCGATGCCTTCTAAGGTCTCGTGCTTGTACTTGCTGACGGTGGTGTGCTGGGCCAGTGCTCTGTGGTACCTGAGTGTGTCCCGTCCTTCATCCTACATCGGCCCGATGTCCTTCCAAGTGCGCAAAGCCACCAAGAACTCCACGATCAGCAACATCCGAGCACGCTCTCTCAACCCGCACGACTTTGGCTACCTCATCAACGAGGCCAAGAAGTGTGAAACCGAGCCTCCTTTCCTCGTCATCCTAATCAGCACCACCCACAAGGAGTTTGACGCCCGCCAGGCCATCAGGGAGACATGGGGGGACGAGACCACGTTCCCAGACGTCCGGGTGGTCACACTTTTCCTTTTGGGTCGAAGCACCGATGCTGTCCTCAACCAGATGTTGGAGCAGGAGAGTCAGATCTTTCATGACATCGTGGTGGAGGATTTTATCGACTCGTACCACAACCTGACCCTTAAGACGCTGATGGGCATGCGCTGGGTGGCCACCTTCTGCGCCAAAGCTCAGTACGTTCTTAAAACAGACAGTGACATCTTTGTCAACATGGAGAATCTCATCTACAACCTCCTGAAGCCCACCACTAAGCCCAGGAGGAGGTATTTCACAGGCTACGTCATCAACGGCGGGCCGATCAGAGACATGCGCAGTAAGTGGTACATGCCCAGGGACCTCTACCCAGACAGCAAGTACCCCCCCTTCTGCTCGGGAACCGGCTACGTCTTCTCAGCAGACGTGGCCGAGCTCATTTACGGAATCTCCTTGCACACCAGGCTGCTGCACCTGGAGGATGTGTATGTTGGTGTATGTCTCCGTAAGTTAGGCATCCACCCCTTTCAGAACAGCGGCTTCAACCACTGGAAAATGGCCTACAGCCTATGCCGCTACCGCCGTGTGGTCACCGTCCACCAGATTTCCCCGGAGGAGATGCACCGCATCTGGAACGACATGACCAGCAAGAAACACCTCAAGTGTTAGCACAACTGGAGGTGTTTCTTGCTGGTCGAGGAGCTGAAGAGGAACTAAGCCTCCTATTGCCTTACACTTCTCCATCATGGGCAAACGGCCCACGGATCAGTTCTGCTGAAGCCTTCAGGGCTTTATCGAGCTCTGGCCGCTTGGCCAGGAGTTCCTCCCGTGCAAGACCAAAGCAAAGTCCTCGGTATCATCGTGTCGGCGCTGACATCAAGGCGTTTCGGTGCTGCTGACAGTTAAAGTTGGAAACATGTATCCCAAGAATGTGCAGAACCCTCAGGCGGCTGCTCGTCCGTATCAGCGGTGCCGTGATTTTTACATGAAATTACACGACGGGAAGCGTTACGGCTTGTGTCGACCTCCTCATGCGCAGCATTTTCAAGGCAAGCGCTGTCTCTACTTTTCCCAAAACTGCCGCTGACAGAGATGTCAGAGATGTCGACACGCTTGTTGGAAGCTCCCGCTGGCTTGATCCCATGCTCTGATTCTGAATGTTCATGTTTGCTGTTCGTTCTGAGCAAGGTGTTACGGTGGGATGGATGGCAGCGGGAGTCCTCGGTGATGTTGCCATCAGTGTACAAATGCATATCAACTGTATTAATGAAGGGACAGCCATCCTCTTCTATGAAAACGTATTTTCTTACGGAAGATTGAAACAGATTTGTACAGAGCAAAAACTAGACTAAAAAAAAGGGCCGGATCAGAATGAAGATGCTGGCTTTCTGTAGTGAATGTTGACCTCTGTTTAAGGGATAGTTTAGACCTTTTGAAGCAGGTTTCTGTGGAAAGGTGATGAAGAAATGGAAATGAGTTTTAAAGCGCTCGTTAACAAGCCAGGTTGTCTCCTCAGATCGGCTCTTTACTGATCGACGGACCCCAAAATTCCACTATCTCCGCTCCGCTCCGGCACGAACTCCGCAACAAAAACGGTCCCGTTGTAGTCCATCAGAGCTGTTCCACTACTGCGGCCGTGCGGCGCGGTGTGCCGCCCGCCGTTCCGCCATCCGGCAAAAATAGGATTGATTCTATTTTTGCCGGACGCCGGAGCACCTCCGCAGTCAATGGACAGAAATCACAACCGCCCAACAGGAAAGGGAGCGAGCACAGCTTCCGTTATTTCACAATAAATCGATAAACAAAAAGTGTTTTATTGTTTCATATGCACAGGTTTAACAACTTTTAATAACTATCAATGGCGGCTGAACTTTAAATACACAAAAATAAGCCATAAATACAGTTTCCACTATCAAAGTACTCACCCTTTGTTGATCCAAACACTGCTGATCTCTCAACACAAATGATGGGCAGATTAAACAGTTCATGCCGATGCTTCTCCCACACAACGGGTGTTTGGATCTAACTTCCGCATTTATTGCTCGGACTGTATCGCAAGATCTCGAAAATCCTGCGCATGCCTGTTTGCGCACCTCAGGTCTCCGCACCGGGGCGGAGCCGTTGTAGAGCGGGTACAGTATAATTTGAGTTCGGAAGCGAGCGACAGCGGAAAGCGGGGGCGGAGCGGAGATAGTGGAATTTTGGGGTAACCCTAACCCTGCTTAAATTACCGCATACCGATAACAACCATAATGCTGCCAAAGTGTCAGAGGTGCAAACACGCTGGTGGCAGCCGACTTATAAACCACTGTTATGTTAACAGACTACTAATCTAGCCCTCCGTCTGACACGTTTGTCTTTAATTATTACTCAGTGTAGCAAACACTGGTCCTCCAGGGCTACTGCCTGACATGTTTTAGTTGTTTCTCTGCTTAGATACACTTCAGTAAATTTAGAGTCTCCTAGGCGTATCTTTGGTCTCCACAGAAGTCTGGTGATCATCAGTTGTTCCAAATCAGGTCTTCTTGGCCGAGAAAAGGTAAAACGTGCAGGGGAGTGCGAAAAAAGTTTTTAGCAAGAATTTTTTTACGTTATTTCTTCATTTTATCAAAACGGTCAACTTTAAACGGGCAGATTTCTGAACTAAACAAACGTACCACCTGTATGGTGGGACAGTGGCTCAGGGGTTGGGAGTGTGCCCTATGACCAGTGGGTTGCTGGTTCAAGCCCAGATCTGTGTCCGTCACTGTGTCCATATGCAAGACGCTCCACCTTTCTTCCCTGCTGTTGCTGATTTTGGGGGGCGATGACTTTGAGTGTGTGGCAGCCTCGTTTCTGTCCCCGTGGCAGCTGTGGCTAATGTAGCTCATCACCACCAGTGGGCTCTGGAGTCCCTGACTTAGAAAAGAGTTATACAAATGCAATATTTTTATAACAAAAATTGTCACACACTAAAACTACTTTAGACTGCAATGTTCCTGTGAGCCCCGAACTGCAAAAGTGTCAATTATTTTAAGGATTTGAAGCCTTAAAATGCTAAATAAAATAAAACATTTCTACATTTATGATCAGGTGGTGCTTATAGTCTGGACAATGTAGTTGATATGATTAAATATTACAGTAAATTTGAATAAGAGTATGTCTATAAACACGGAAAAACCATCAAACTCAATTTTAAGATTTGAGGGATTGATGGAGTTATTTTTATTTCATATAGATATTTTTTATAATATTTACTATTTATATTGATGTGATGATATAAATCACCAACTTACATCTTTATGTTGCTCCAGTTTATTGAAAATGGATTTTAATGGCCTTTTTAGCACTTTTCTAACAATGTGGACGAGATTCTCGCAATTAATTGTGGGTACCATATGACATTAGAACAATGTTGATCAGTATGAAGAAATCTTTGATTACAGGAAATTTCACAGTAGGATTTTATTTAGGTGGAGTTGTTCGGAAACACACATGGAAACAGCAGCTAGCATTAGCTCAGAGGATTTTTGGGAGGAATTTAATTACATTTCTACCCGATTAATCGAATACTTGCCTAATGAAGATTACATGAAGTGGGTCATTTTCATGTTTGAGTTGCTTAAAGACTTAAACCCACCTCGCTCTAGCCTGACTTGTTAGCCGTTAGCTTGTCAATCCAGTTAGAACTAATCTCCATTTCTCCAAACTGAGGCTATTTGCTGAGGTATCCGCAGCAGGAAGGAAATAAATTCACAGAGCCTCACCTCAAAATGTCTAAGCCATCCTTTGATATTTTGTGTGCAGTCCGTGCAGCTGGCCGTTTTCTATGACTTGAACATGGCGAGTGGTGAAAAGCGTAAACTGAGAGCAAATCTGACATTTTTCAGTGTGTTTTCTTTCTTTTCCATTACTGGAGATTAAATAAAGTGCTTTCATAATATTGCTGTGTTCCCTCTGCACTCCATATAGAACAGCGAACCTGGAAGCTAATATATCTGCGTGCATACGAGGCTTGATTACTCACTGAGGGAGAGCGCGAGCTGTAGGAGTGAAAGCAGCTCATTATGACTGCTGTTCACTGCAGCAGCTGCTCATCAGACAGGCGAACAGCGAGGATTAACTTTCCTCGTGGCTCTGGAAGCGTCCCCGCTCCCTGTGCAGGTGTGGACGGATGAAGCAGACACCAACATGTTATTAAATCAACTGTAACATCTCCGTAATTGGCAGCTGAAAGTGGATGTTCAGGCTCAGCCATTGTGTCCATAGAAGAAGGAAAACTTCCATTTCTGTGATCAGAATAATTGGGTTGTTGTTGTTGTTATTTTTTTCAGTTTGCCTTAAAGGTTCCACAAACATCTGTTTGTCTACTTTAATGAAACAATTCTTTATATTGTAATTACAATAAAAATGAGCTGCTTCTATCTGTTAAAAAATAAAATCATTTTTTACAGAATTTCATTCAGTCTACAAATTATCGTGTTTTTATTTAATCTTAAACAGTTCTGTGATTCTCTGGGGAAACCTAAATGGTACCAGTGGAGGAAAAGTCAGTGACCTTGGGTGTTTTTACCTTCCATGTTGTGGAATTTCAGCCACATTTCAAAAATCTTTTGTAAGACTAGTTTGGGCATTTCAGTTCAAACCAGTTCAGTACTTATTTTTAACTAGGCCATTACAAAACCATGACTCAAAAGCTCAAACCATCAATGTGCCACCACCGTGCCTCACAGTTGGTATGATGTGCTGAAACAACACACAAGGCCATTTAATCCAAAGGCTGTACACATAATAATGAATTTAAACATAAAGCCAAACCTTTATTGTTGTCTTTTTGGAACCAGACCTCAGATAATCAGCAAATAGTTGTAGTATTTTAATCCTCAACCACCTAATTACAACTAAACTGAACGGTCAGCAGCAAGGTAAGAGCTATGAACCCAAAGAACCCCTGGAAAAGTCAGCAGAAAAGTATTTTTGCTATTGAATCAAAACAATGTCCCACTGGTTTTCATAAAAGGGGCAGGGTTAAAAAACCTATACTGCAACCAACCACTAGGGGGGCTGACTGTTTTTGTTTCACTTTCAACTTCCACCATGCTTTCCTAAATCTATAATATGGAAGGGAGCAACTTCGTTAACCTTCTCGATAGAACTGACTCCACCGTTTTGAGAGAAAACCCCTAAAGCCTGATTTATAATTCTCCATCAGTTCGAGTCTGGAGTCGTGGACACGCATTGAGGGAGAATTTTTCCTTTCAGACTTCTCCGTCACCTGGAGAGAGTAGCAAATCAATTCCCTGCCAGGACAACAGAGGGCACAGAGCTTTTCTGGGGTGTCCCGGCACCATTACAGCCTCGTATCCGGTCCAAGCTGGTGTATTTACTAGGGATGAGCGAGTACACCACTATCTGTATCTGTATCTGTTCAACCAACTAAATTATCTGTATCTGTATCTGTACTCGGAATGGGCGTGGCATAACCCGGAAGTGGGCGTGGTTTAACCGGAAGTGGACGTGGTTTACATCAATGTATTATTTTAAGTCTGAAATTGATATGGATTGATCAGAAGTTGCTATGTGTATTGTTTATTTGAAAACTATTTACAGAGCAGCCTCAGAATTGAGATTAAATATTTTTGATCACAATAGTAAAGGAACTATTACAGAACAAGTTTTTCAATAAAATCAGAACATTAATATTTGAGTGCATGGATTAATACATCTGAACTCATGCTGTAGGAACTAGGAAATGTGAAATGCTAGAACCAGACACAACTTTATATTTTTTTTTATTTTAATTTGATTAAACTGATTTTTTCTTAACGTTCTTGGCATTTTCCCACACAAAGTTAAACAAAGAAATGTTGATTAATGTGTGTGTGTGTGTGTGTGTGTGTGTGTGTGTGTGTGTGTGTGTGTGTGTGTGTGTGTGTGTGTGTGTGTGTGTGAGAGAGAGAGAGAGAGAGAGAGAGAGGGACAGAGAGGGAGTTAAAAAAAAATAAAAAGCCCGACCGGAGCGGAGGTAGTGACAACAGCACGTCAGCTCTGTCTTGTCAAATGCACCATGTCAGTTACGAAAAAAGTAACTTCAAATATTCAACCGAAAAAGAGGCGAGCTGAAGAAAACCTAGGGAAAACTGAAGAAACGTGAGAAACAGTGAAGCCATCACAGCGCGATCCGTTACTGTCTGTGTGTGTGCGTGGATGAGCCCCGGACTGCGCTCCCGGCGGGCTAGAGAGCTTTGTAAGTAGGGAGGGGCGGGCGCTCTATGTGACTGGCCAATCACAGAGCGTGAAGACAGTCAGTTACCCAATGAGGATTTTCCTTCAGCACGATTACAAATATTGACTCGTTTTACTCGTTTCATCTGGTATTCGTCAAAAATGCGTTATCCGTACCGGATACTCGGCTCATCCCTAATATTTACTGTTGTGTATTTCAGAGACTTTTTATCATGGTCTAATCTGTCCCTCAGTCTCCTCTTTATGAACTCGCCACCTCTAAACCCACGTTTCTCGTCATTTCTGACCTCAAATAAAATGCTTACTGCATATCTTTGTACTCCTCCAGTTACAGGTGAATAAACGTTCACTTTTTATTTTTTCAGGGGGCAAAGGTAGGGCTCTTGACGAATTTAAAGGGAGTGGCGTTCTGACCAGTCACAAGCTTGCGGATTGTTAAAAGTGGAGTCTGTCGGAGAGCCCTTGCGCCGACACATATTGGCGTTGCGTGTCTGCACCAACGCAGACGGAGAAGTATTAATCAGCCTTTAGAAACACTTCACCGTTCTTTGAAACCAAGCAAATAAGCACCACTAAAAGCTGCTGTACATTTTGGGCCATCTGCAGAGCATTACATATATTTTGTACATTGGCAACAAAAAGCAAGTTTGAGCACGCATGGGGATGGCATGGATCAGGCAGAAGAAACACCGAAGGAGATAGTAGAAACTAGGGGTGGGCAATATAAACGATATAAGGTAGAAACAATAGTTTTTGGCTATATCGCAATACCGCGATATCACGTTAACACATGATGTCACTAAGATGTGCACCCTGCTGACATTGGGACAACAGAAGGGCAGTGACTACAAGCATGGAGTGGGCGGAGGAGGAGGCCTATATGCCTCAAGTGGCATATTATATCGCAGTATAGATTTGAGGCCATATCACCTAGCCCTAGTAGAAACTACTAAAACTTCAATAGAAACTGTTGCATAGCATTTTAAAAACTAAGGAAAATGGGAAGCCATCGTATTCGAGGAGGAAATTTAGTTGGACAAAAATTCTTAACGCTCATTGTGAAGAGGACTCGAGGGATTGGGATTGAGATTCTGTGCAGCCCTAAGAAAACCACTAATTAGTCAGGCTAACTGGAGAAAAAGGCTCTGATTAGATAGGGAGCATAAGATTGGCCTCTAGAGCAATGGAAGAAGGTCATGTGGTCTGATAAGTCCAGATTTACCCCTCCTTTCCGCCAGGTGCGTAAGCGTTGAATAACGGCAGCAAAACTTACTTTGCAGCAATTAGCCGCCGGTATAATAGACGGGTTCCTTTTCATTGGCTGTGAAGCGTCACGTTTTGGATGCCAGAAGCATAGGAAGGGATTGCCTAAGTTTCAAGTCTATTTTTTGCACGCTAAGCATACATAATGGCGAGCCAGCCAGGAGAGAGGGTAAACAACCTTTGGAGGAATAGCTCCTTCATCACGTTACAGCTTTCAGAACGCATCACACTCGGCAGTTCAGATCAGGTCAGACAGGAAGTCAAATACTAAAGTGCTTAACTAGTGAAAAAAACAAAACAACATAATTTCCTGTGAAACCTCCATAGCTGAGGTAAACAGAATGACAAATTAACCACAGAACGTTTTGTATTTTGTACACATGCTAGCATCTTTCTCCTTGCTTGTTATCGTCTGATTGACGCGTGGTGTTACAATTCTTCCATGATTGTGTGACCTTGCTGGTCCTGCTTCGTGGAATGCTGTCACTTCGTTTTGCATCGGAAACACTCCCAGTTGCAAGGGAGCTTGTGGGTTAAATATATTTATTACGCAACACGCATAGGCGGAGTTACCCTGCTTGTGAGGCACATCCAGTGTTGGGCAAGTTACTTCAAAACTGTAATGCATTATTTATTACTTGTTACCCTCATTTTAAAGTAATTCATTACATTACAATATTACTGATTTTAAAATGTAAGGCATTACACTACTTTTGCATTACTTTAAGTTACTTTCACCAAAACAACTTCAACATGAATCTGGTAATGTGACGCTCAGTGAGCTCGTGACATATATGTGGAAAGTGATGTGGTGTCTGAGCTAGGATTGCTGTTAAAAACAGTCAGATGTAATAACAGTGCTTTAAAATGATTGTTTATTAAATAAAAGCAACAACAATCTGTACTCTCAGCACGCTGCCATCTTAGATTAACTGAGCAGGGAGTGAGGTGGTGGGGGCTCCAAGCCTATATTTGCCTTGGTCCCCAAATGCCTTGATACGGCCCTGGATGTGGGACTGACTTCTGGGGTGATCTGATTCTATCACATATATAAATATTAAATGCTTATATATTATTGCTTTTCACTGGTAAACATGTGTATTGGGGATAAATCTACCTACTTTGTTTCTTTTCAAGCACTTTGTTTTGTATTCTTGATTTTATTTGAATAATTTCCTGCCCTTTCCCTCTCTAACCTTCCTGCATGCTGCATGTTTTCTCCATCTTCCAGAAAAACTGTTTCCTAGACTTCCTACTTTCTAACTATCAGCCAAAGGGATCTTCACATGCGCGGCGCTCCAGCAGTAATGAGTTGAAATCACCGGGGCACAGATTATGAACTCAGCTGAGGCAAAGCACGTCAGAAAAGCACAAAATACCAGAGAATATGCGCTGATGTGAACGATCGCAAGTGAATTATTTTGTTTTAGTGGAGCAATTTTGTGAATGTTGCAGCAGCCGCGTGCAGGACGCAGCTGGAGTAGTTGAGCCATTACCTCTGTGTCCTCTCTGCTCATAGAATGCCCGCAAAGCTGAGCCCATACATGACGTCATATATGCAGATACTGGATCTTTCTTCGGGTTTCCCGCAATTTGAATTTTTAAGGAACACATCTTGATTCTGGGTTTAAAAATGCATTGTAATTACCGCGTTACTGACAATTGTACCGAGTAAATATTACCATTTTCTTTCCCTGTAATGTCTTACATTATCACATTACAGCAAAAAGCAATGCATTACAGTAATTAATTACTTTTGTACCGCATTACTCCTGACACTGGGCATATCAGCAGGGGCGGATGTAGGACTGAAGAAGATCCGGGGCTTAACACACACACGCACGTGCGCGGGCACACACGCGCGCGCACACACGTGACACACACTAGTCAACATCATATATATATATTTGTCTTGTACCACATAATTTTTAATCTGAAGCTACACATTAAGCATTTTCAGGGCAGAGTATTGTTCCTGTTAGTGTTTAGTGTGAGATGATAGTAAATATTCCCTTTCTTTCTCCAACAACTTTACCTGATAAGCTAACTTTAGGCAAACCAGCAGCACAACAAATATTTTCAAATAAGACTCACAAACCTGAGTCAACACCAGTCTCATCAAAGCTGGGGTTCTGTCGCCGTACTTTTGGTCTAAAAAACGTCCTCATGTCCATCTTCACTCATGCGTTTCAGGCAGAGAGTGTAGAAGAAGCCGGCTGCTGAAGGGCTTCTTCAGTGGTGGAGGCTCAGGCAGGCTGTATACAAACTACTGCCAGCTGCGCCCTCTCTGTTGGAATTTGGTACTGCATGTTACTTCCGCGATTTAGATCCGGGGCTTATCATGAAAGATCCGGGGCTTCAGCCCAAGTAGCCGGGCCTAACGCCGCCCCTGCATATCAGGGTAAGAAGAGAGGCAGATGAAGTGATGCACCCATCATGCCTAGTGCCTACTGAATAAGCTTGTGAGAGCAGTTTATGTTCTGGGGTTGTTGCAGGTCCAGGTTCAGCTAGGTTGTGTGTGGAACGGGCATTTTCCAAGACAAAACCAGGATTCGTTCGGCTCAAATTGTGAAAGAGTGGTTCCAACATATTCTCACTCCCAGCGCGTCAAAAAAAAAAAAAACGCTTGGTCAGCCACCCTCCTCGTCAGACCCTTGACCCCAAAAGTGCCCTTTTTCGTCACTTATGTGCGAAAAGGGGTTTTCCTCTTTTCTGACTGCAGATTCCAAAGCAGCGTAAAACTGACGCGATGGGATATCCACTGATGCAGCACCGAACCAGCTCATTTAACCGCACCTAAACCTTAACATTTTGCTATTTATAACCTTCCCCTCGCCCTCATCCTAACCTTAACCCTCTTGCTACCTAAAACGTTACTCTCACTGTGATCAAGCGTCTGTTTCCCATGCATTCTGACTGTGAATTTTCGTATTAGCCGCCCAAGGGGAACGTTAGAACATACCATCTGGTGAGGAGGAGGTTACAAATACCCTCTACTTTTAACCTCCGCCTTGGTAGTTGAAACCTCCCCCTCGCGTTGGCTCGGTCCAAACCCGACCAATGACGAGGCGGATCCCGCCGTTCACTTCATAGAGCCGGCTTTGAGAGTGACCGACACATCACTAACGTGTTCGCTAGCAAGATGGTGAAGGTTCGGATAGGGGTGAGGGGAAGGTTAAATAAGAGGATAAGGTTAGGGTGAGGTACATTGAGCTTGTGTACTGCCCTGGCTGCGGACATCCCATCGCGTCAGTTTTACGCTGCATTGGGATCTGCAGTCAGAAAAGGGAAAAAAACCTTTTCGCACATAAGTGACGAAAAAGGGCACTTTTGACTTCAGGGGACTGACGCAGAGGGTGGCTGACCAAGCGTCTGTTTTTGACACACTGGGAGTGAGAATGGGTTGGTGGTTCGTGCAGCATGAGACATCGATCTCACGTATGGATCGGCCAGTCTGGACTTTAACCCTACTGGGAAGCTTGTCTTTAGCATGTGCTGGAAAAAGTCTTTGCACATTAGTCTTCCGTCATCAGTCCAAGATCAGAAGCTCATTGAAACAATGCATTAATTGCTTGCTATAATCAAAGCTGAAGTTGGTCCAAAGAAATATTAAATAACCTTTTTTAGGACAGTGTGGACACATCCTGTGGTGTCACCCGGTAAATATGACTGCTATGTTTTCTGTTTACCTGCTCATAAACACACACTTCCTCTCAGTGCTATAAAGTGTGTAGCGGCGTCTTCTCACCTGCGTTTATTACAGCCAACAGTATCGACCCGTGGAGTCAGCTGGAAATGGGAACACCGGGTCGACGGAGACATCCCTGGTAAGTGACTACGTGTCGGTGGTGCTGTAGCGATGGCAATTATCTGAAATCATTAGAGTGTGGCAGCTCTTTCTTCACTGAAGGTGTTGCAGTACCCACAACAAAAAACAACAGCTTGTTTGTCTTGATTGAGCCAGTTTAGACAAAGACGGTTAAAAAATGGTTTTCAATCATAAATAACTGGATTGATTTATTTGTTTTCTGCAGCGGTCGAGCATTTTCCAACATAATATGAATTGTATGAGGTTTAGACAAATCCGTATCCATCTCCAGTGGGTTGACTCTGTGAACTCTGTCTTTCAGCAGTATTCATCTCCTCTGTAGAGGACCTGATCCAGGAGAAATGAGAAGCACTCAAAAAAAAAAAGAAAAATACAGGTGCTGGCCAGTAAATTAGAATATCATCAAAAGGTTGAAAATATTTCAGTAATTCCATTCAAAACGTGAAACTTGTACATTATATTCATGCAATGCACACAGACCAATGTATTTCCAATGTTCATTACATTTAAATTTGATATTCATAAGTGACAACTAATGAAAACTCCAAATTTGGTATCTCAAAAAATTAGAATATTCTGAAAAGGCTGAATATAGAAGACACCTGCTGCCACTCTAATCAGCTGATTTACTCAAAACACCTGCAAAGGCCTTTAAAAGGTCCCTCAGTCTTGTTTTGAAGGCACCACAATCATGGGGAAGACTTCTGACTTAACAGCTGTCCAAAAGACAATCATTGACACCTTGCACAAGGAGGGCAAGACACAAAAGGTGATTGCTAAAGAAGCTGGCTGTTCGCAGAGCTCTGTGTCCAAGCACATTAACAGACAGGCGAAGGGACGGAAAGAATGTGGTAGAAAAAAGTGTACAAGCTCTAGGGATAACCGCACCCTGCAGAGAATTGTGACGACAAACCCATTCAAAAATGTGGGGGAGATCCACAAAGAGTGGACTGCAGCTGGAGTCAGCGCTTCAAGAACCACCACGAGGAGACTCATGAAAGACATGGGATTCAGGTGTCGCATTCCGTGTGTCAAGCCACTCTTGAACAAGAAACAGCGCAAGAAGCGTCTCGCCTGGGCCAAGGACAAAAAGGACTGGACTGATGCTGAGTGGTCCAAAGTTATGTTTTCTGATGAAAGCAAGTTCTGCATTTCCTTTGGAAATCAAGGACCCAGAGTCTGGAGGAAGAGCGGAGAAGCACAGAATCCACGTTGCATGAGGTCCAGTGTAAAGTTTCCACCGTCAGTGATGGTGTGGGGTGCCATGTCATCTGCCGGTGTTGGCCCACTCTGTTTCCTGAGGTCCAGGGTCAATGCAGCCGTCTACCAGGAAGTTTTAGAGCACTTCATGCTTCCTGCTGCTGACCAACTTTATGGGGATGCAGACTTCACCTTTCAACAGGACTTGGCACCTGCACACAGTGCCAAAACCACCAGCACCTGGTTCAAGGACCATGGTATCCCTGTCCTTGATTGGCCAGCAAACTCGCCTGACCTTAACCCCATAGAAAATCTATGGGGTATTGTGAAGCGGAGGATGCAATACGCTAGACCCAACAATGCAGAGGAGCTGAAGACGACTATCAGAGCAACCTGGGCTCTCATAACACCTGAGCAGTGCCACAGACTGATCGAGTCCATGCCACGCCGCATTACTGCAGTTATTGAGGCAAAAGGAGCCCCGACTAAGTATTGAGTGCTATACATGCACATTCTTTTCATGTTCATTCTTTTCAGTTGGCCAACATTAGAGAAACAAACATTTTTTCATTGGCCTTTAGAATATTCTAATTTTCTGAGATACCAGATTTGATGTTTTCATTGGTTGTCACCTATAAATATCAAAATTAAACGTAATAAACATCGGAAATACATTGGTCTGTGTGCATTGCATGAATATAATGTACAAGTTTCACGTTTTGAATGGAATTACTGAAATATTTTCAACCTTTTGATGATATTCTAATTTACTGGCCAGCACCTGTAGTCTCTTTGCTCAAATGGTTCCATTGTAGAAAAATAAAACCTTGGGGGATTTCGTCATCAGAACAACGTTTTCGTGATGGAACAATTCCCAGCCAACATGTTGGCGTCAAATTCTTCTTTCCTGATCACTTTGTCGAGGAGTTTGACAAACGAACCGGAGTTTTTTCCCATGGATGCCCAGCTCTTTGGGTTTATCTGCCACAGCGTGTTATCAGTTAATAACTTTATTTTCTTCCAGGAAGTGTGCAGGCGGGCTGCCCGGTAGTGCACGTGTGGAATGATTGGTATTCACGGCTTCTCCGGCTCAGTGCTGTGTTTTGCATTCCTCTGATCACCCCCCGTGGCACATGCAATTTGACACAATGTGCTGAGTAATGCTGCGCGCCGTAACCGGCCAAACAGCCCAGTGGAGGAGCGTTTAAAGCAGCCGAAGCTCTGGGTAAATGAAAGGAGGTGATTATTCGGAGGGCTTGTGGTAAATGGGGCTCGTAACGAGCGAGGCGGAGCGCCGGACAAATGGGAACACTAAGACGTAAAAACAAAGCATTAGGAGGAAGGCCTGTGGAGCATGGAGGAGCACAGAGTGGACCCTGGTTTTCTTATGGTGCTTAAAAAGTCGAGGGAAATTTTCCAAAAGGGAATCAATCCTACGTAATGAGCTGTTGCATATTTGTGCTCTGCTCTTTCACACTAAACGCCCTCTCGCAGATCACATGACCTCCATGCCGCTTGTCCCCCGAGGCACCGAGGATGTGTGTTTATGAGACAATAACCACGGAATAAATAAGCAGTGAGCAGTTGGCCATCTGGGCTCTCACTTTTCCACCAAGGTGAGAGGACAGGGGCTCACGGAGAGCAGCTGGGATCGGATCGGTCACTCGGTTCACAACCTCCTCCAGGAGAAGCAGGGAGAGAGAGCCGTCGCACTCACAGAGGTGCTTTTTATGCATCCCGACAATCCCTGCAGTTGTCCTGAAAGCGTTGCGGCGATAAGGATTTCAGCGCGGCTCCACGGTAAAGAAGGTCCGGAGCTTCCAGCCGGCGTTAGCTGGGCTTTTTCTCTCACCGTTCGAAGTGCATTTTAAATTAAATGATAAATCTAAATTGACTGTAGGTGTGAGTGTGAGTCAGCGGTTGTCAGCGTGTGTTAGGGTGGTGGTATCTGCCTGGAGAGGCTTCAACTGGAGAGGACAAGCTGGGTAGAAAATACAGATGGATTTATGTTTGCTGTTCTTTTCTCTTGCATTCATGTAAGGCAGGGGTGTCAAACTCAAACTCACACGGGGCCGAAATGAAACTCTGGGACGGAGTCGAGGGCCAAACTTAATATTTTTTGAAAAAGTGACAGCAAATTTGCACATTTTCTTTATCAACATATATGCAATTTTGAACCTTTAAATTTGGAAACAAACTTATTTCTGCATTAACACTGAATGTGGAATAACCAAATGACACACGAGCAAGTCAGTTTTAAATAAAAGGCATCAGTGGTATTCATTACTTGTGGTATAATCAGCATTTTTAAAATCTATTCAGGATTTATGTTTTCTTGTTTATTCATTTTTCTTATTTTTTATTCTCCTTTCTTCTCCTGTAATAAGTGTCATCGCTGCTGTGACGTCTAGCTTTCCCCACTGAGGAACAATAAAGGGATTTTCTATTCTATTCATCTATCTGCAGCCTTTCCACTTCCTGTTTACTGTAGGTTAAATCTTTTCTCACGGGCCAACAACAAAATAAAAATATCATTTTATCTTAAATGAAAATGCAACATCTCACCTGTTAACTTTCATGTTTTGGAGCAGAAAAAGAGCATAAAACCAACATATTTAAAGCTCAGTTTGCTCCACTGGTTTACTGTGATGCTCACCTGTTCCAGCCAGATACCTGCATCATGGGGTTGATCTGAGCTGAGGAGGAGACTCCTGTTGTTTTGTTCATCTTCATCATAATAATGACAACATTAGATGACAACAGGTGCTCACATAGGTTTGTGCTGATGAACATGTCTGAGCAGCTTGACCACGTTGTTGTGTGTCTGGGAGGAAACACAACTACAGAGTCGTGCTGGTTTGAGCGTGTCGCTGCTCGCTGGAGTTATATCAGCTCTGTCTGGACGTTAGTTGGAAAACTTTCTCTTTCAGTCGTGAACACGTTACTGAGCGGCTAGAATCTCCGTTTCTGGGCTTCAACGTCAGAAAACAGCTGAGTGAACTCGGCGCTGAGTAAGAGGAGTGTAGTTTGTCCAAGACAGCGGAGCTGCAGACACCCAACTACCTCTGACTGCCTCGGCGCTGAAAAAACACAAAGGAGGGGGCGCGTCTGCTCCGCGCTGGCGCCGCAAAGCATCATGGGAGTTGTAGTCTTTGCGGTAAAATCGGCCAGCGGGCCAGTTTTAATATATTTTTGATATTTATCTCGCGGGCCACATAAAAATGCTCCGCGGGCCGCATCTGGCCCGCGGGCCTTGACTCTGACATATGTGATGTAAGATGTCAAAAGGTTAGTTTAACATCAAACCCAAAAGCTGCATTGGTTCAGGACTGTTTTACCATTCCAGTGGCCACAGGATGTGATTTCCTTACAGGAGGATCCTTTGTGGCATCAATGTTTACGTTTCTTGGGTTGGGGTCAGGGTTGCATCACAGGATTGTGGGGCAAGAAACAGCATGTTTAGTCTATAATTTGATTTATTTGCCACTTGGAGGAGGATTTAGCAATGCAGACAGATTATTCTTGCTGTGTGATCTATTGTTCGGCCCGTGGAAGGCTTCATAAAAAGTTTCGTGGAACTTCATCCGTAAACGACAGAAATACAAAAGAGATGATTCTGGGCGGCCCGGACTCCAAAGAAAGCCTGGACTTCTGCAGCTACGGACAGTTTGTGAGGCTCATTTTGTTCACGGTACATCCTTGCGACCAAGTATTTGTCAATTAGAAAACTAAAAGTGTAGGTCACGTGTCGATAGCAGGGCCCTTTTTGCGTGTTGTGCCACCCAACAACTCTCACAT